TCTCTCTCTCTCTCTCTCTCTGTGTGTATATATATATATATTGTCACATCACTACAAACTAAAAGAGCGCACTTTGCGGGACAAAGAATAAAAGCAAAAAACGGGCACAGTGATAACATGCAAAAATAAAAAGAAAAAGAAAAAGAAAAAGAAAAAACAAGGGCATCACATATATAGTATATAGTATATACATATCATACATATACATATTACATACAGTGTATGTTCTCACATAGAAAGGGGACATGGGGCACAAGAAAGAGGACTCAAAAGGAAGAAGTTTTGACAGTCTGAAAATTCGACACTGATTATTTAATCCATGAACCCCAGGTTCAGGGTGGCATGAACTCAACAGCTGTTAGCAACCACTGCAAGCTAGGATACTGTGAGCAAGGCTAGATTCACACTCTGCACACTGTACACTCACACCATCTTCAGCAGCCAGGAAAGTCAACAAAACAAATCTGTCACTGACGACCAAAACGCTCTCTATATGCAAAGCATTACATTCAGTTAGGTCCTGACAATGCTGCCTCTCTACCCGCTTGGTGAACCGATAGGAGCTAGCCAGCCCAGTTATGTTGTGTTTCCAACTTTCCGATTTCCATGATAAAACAGCTTGTTCACTTCTCCCTTTGCTTGTCATGTCCATTTTTGCAAACGTGACAGAGTGGTGCACTAGGTGAGGCAGGCTCACATATACTCTCTCCTGGACAAGAGACCTGGCCCAATGCACTTAGCAGAAACATGGCCAGGAGATGCATCATCCATCACCTGGAAATAAGTCGATTGGGTGTTCTGGACCAGCTATAAGATGCTGCAAACAGCATGGATTCCCAAACAAGTCTCGCAAAACGAATTTCCATGTCCTACTGTAATGCTGGAGCACAACACATGACATGGGAGGTTGATGTTGGATGATGAACAAGGCATGGAAACCCAAACAGGGGAACTGACAGAGAATGGGGAAATGGATAATGCAGGTAGGGAGTGGGATAAAAGCGGAAGCCTGCTTGTTTTTTGTTGGTTAATGCTAGTGACTACTTCCACTCTTGTTCTTTCTCTACCAGAGAATCAGATAAATGCAAAACTACTGGGAAGTTTTCTCCCGATCACGGCTGGGATATCCATGCTATCATGCCAAGCATTACACAGCGCACGGCTGTCTACGTCACAATACTGAAAGCATTCACCCATAAGTTTTTCTGCTCACCAACACACAGAGAAACGCTTTCTTCAGAACCAAGCAAGGAAGTCCACTGGCAACCCTGTTCATGCGATCAGTGGATATTGACGGGGGGAAACTATCTTTTCTCACCAAGGAGGAAGTTGGGATCTTGCCTAGGAGAAGGTTGTGACATCTCCTCAAGTCAGATACAGCGTACACGAACAACAAAACAAACAAGAGGAATGTGACATTCTCATCCAGTCATACACAGCCTACAAGGACAGGGAAAAAAACATAAGGAATTATAAAGTGTGTCACAGATGATGTACCGAAATCTACACTGTTTTTCGGTGTGCTCGGGCACGAATGTCGTGCCTGAACACGCCCATCTGCCAGTCGGGGCAGGATCCCCAGGTGGGATCCTGGGCAGTCCCAGCGCAAAATTCCAAAAAAATGAAAACATCAAAAAATTCTGAAAAAGAATATGTTACGTAGAATTGCAATGAAAGCAACTGTTGTCATTGGATCAGTGGCCTCAGCCCTTGTCCGCGCAAGCACGGACTCGAACCGGCGACCTCGGCCTCAAGAGCCAAGTAACCATACTGGCCGTGATATCCGCCGCACCCATGCAAGGCTGTAGTGTCCACACTCAACGCACACCACACACAACACCACACATAACACCACATGGACGCTGGCAATCACCGCACACTTCGCTCCAAGTAGCACATGACTCCCATCGGTAGTATAGCCCGCTCACTTATGAGGGACTTAAACTGCCCGCCAGTTCACGGGAGCTTTCCAATGTCATTGGATCAGTACCTCCGGGCCTCAGCCCTCCTCCGTGCAAGCACGGAGTTAGTTGGCTGATGGTCACCTCCGAATTCCTAATTGAATCCAAGACAAGAGAGAAAAAAACAGGCACCCCTCTTTAAACTTCAAAGTTTAAACTTAAAAATTAAAACCCCATTAAGCCCCATTTATACCCCCCTTTCCCCCACCTGCGGATAATGAAAAACAAAAAAAAAAGAGCCCGGATTTGGACTGCTTCCACTGGGCGCAGAAAACTCCCACTGACGGAAAAACAACCCCCCCCGCCCCCAAAAAAAAAAAAATCCCCCAGTTCTTACATGCCCGGGGTATACCGAATGCAGAGGGCTGGGCAACCTGCACGAGCCCCCGGGCCTGCACCCCTGCTACATGGAAACTGCATAGACGAACTTTACTAACCTTGATACAGCCTTGAGGTCAGCAACTTGGAAATTGTTCACATGGAGCAGGAGCCTTAACGACCCGTTCGCAAAGATAGAATTGCACTGCACATTCAGATGTGGTCGTCAGCATGACGGAAGCCGCATTGACCTTATACAACTTCAGAAAACATTTGCAGAAACAGGGGTATCATATTCTATAAGCAAGGTCCTGATTTCCTAAACCTTGCAATTCATGTAATTGTTTCTTGAAGTCTTCCTGTGATCAGCTTATCCACTAGGCATTGACTGTACCAGATAAGATTGACATCGTATATGTGGCACTTAACCTAGCTCTTTATTTTTTCCCGAAGCTAAGTTGATTGCACTCCAACTGTGACAAATGTTCCAACAGATAAATGGGTAGTGTGAAATGGCCCCTGCCTCTCTGATAACCAATGTTGAACCATGAATTCTGAAATCACTGAGGACCTAACGGGCGAAGCGATCTGGAGTCAGATACGTAAGTTACACCAGAGGATGACAGACAAGAATCTATCGACGAATATGAGAAATGAAGGGGCGATGGTTGGGGTCCACCACATGTTTTGGAGATCCCACGGCTGCGTCTCGACCAAGTTGGCGAACAGGTGAGAGGACGCTTACCGGCAGATAGGATATCGACAAGATGAAGGTGGACCGTCCCTGAGGTGTGGCCCTCGCCCGACCCACACCTCAGACTCTAACATCCACACTCCCTACTAACCCGATCTTTCTTCCCTATCTCACATACACTCAACTCTCCTCTTGACTGACCTGTGGTAGGCACGACCCCCCCCCTCCCCCCGCGACCCCACCTCCACAGCAACAGATATCGTAATAGTCCCTCCACTCTCATCCACCCCTGCTACAGTCTCCATATAAACTCTAGTGCCAGAAGCTCTATTCTCTCGTACAAGCGCATATCTTCATGTCGGAAATCGACCTCAATTGTTACGGGAACCTATCAGACTACAACAATCGCCATATCTGAAGGAAAAAGGAAAAACAAACATAGTGTATTGACAAGCCCTCGCCACTGATACATGCCCAGTTGGGCAATGTATGTACAGCCAAGGATCCGCAATTGTGCTAAAAAGGACTGAATGGACAATGCAGTGGTAGCGGAATCTCTACAAGCAGCGTTCATCCTGGTACATACAAATGGCACTTTGTAGCGCAGTGGAAGACTCGGACATAAGTCCTGACTTGACCGGGACTGACACGGCATCCCATTATACATCACCCATGTGAGAGGAGGAGGAGATACCAAAGTGTTGCATACCGTAATGGTGCAAACCAGAACAACGACCGACCTCCCTCACATAGTACAAGACAGCGCAGCGGAATGCTAGGATACCAATGATCAACCCAGTCAATGTCGCAATGCAGATCCAACATACATCATCATCGTTGCAAGGTGTGAAGGGCCTGGCGCTACACATAGGAAGAATGCGCCAGGTCCGGACCATACACAGACGAAGAGGAGGGGATCAGACGAAGAAGAGCGGGAAGATGGGAATGTTGTCAACACCAAGTCTTCGGTACAGGTCCCAAATAATCCTTCGTTCAATGTCTCAACCCCAATGTCGAGTCTGAATCCAAATGTCGTCAAGTCCGAAAGTCACCAATCTCTCTCTCTCATAGTCTGCAGATACTCAGAAGTCAGGTAGTGAGAGGGTGAGGGAGAGATGATGGACTTAGAAGAGGAAGAAGAACTCTCTCTCTCTCTCTCTCTCTCTCTCTCTCTCTCTCTCTCTCTCCGGTACTAACCTGTGAAGGTGGCGCCTTGTTGCAGGTACAGCGAAGACGAAGCTGGAGCTATGGCACCGCAGGTAATCTCCCTGGCCTCCGCCAACCATCTCTCTCTCTCCAACGCTACTCTAGCTCCTACTAGCGCCCAGCGCTGAAAACTTCTCCTAACGCTACTACTCCTGCAGCGCTCCTCCAGAGTGCTGCTGCCGAATCCTGAAGACTGCCTCCTGCCTCCTGCACGTGAAGTGCCTGGGAAGTCCCTATGAACTACCTGCAGCCTGCAGGGCGGGCCAGTCTTATATAGTGCTGGCCCGTCCAGGAGGCTGCTCTTGCCAATGCCAAAACGTGCCAGACCCTGGCGTTGAAGCTCAAACAAAGGTTGTCTTGCAAACAGGCCCAAAATGGCTTGTGCTAAAACCCTGGTCTGGTGCCTAAGTTTCAGGGCAGGTCGATCTTATGAGGGCCTGAAAATGGCCCTCCGTTTCAGGCTGAAAAGACTCAGGGCCTGGAGGGCCCTGTTTAGGCTGAAACGACACAGGGCCTGTAGGCCCTTGTTTTCAGGCTTTCAGGCTGAAACGACACAGGGCCTGTAGGCCCTTGTTTTCAGGCTTTCAGGCTGATCCGACACGGGGTCTGAAAATGGCCCTTGTTTGTAAGCGCAGCATGTTGCAGGCGCAGCATGTAACAGCCACACTGCCGCTCAACCTGAAAATACACTCCACAATCCAAATCAATCACCCCGCTCTTACCCACGTGAATCCAATGCGGTTGACAATCGAGCACTGAGATTTCTGATTGAATGCTCACAAGTGAAAGGCAAAAAAATCACAGAAAAAGTCAGCAATGCAAACGGGGTAGAGAAGAGATTATTGCCTGGCAATACCCACATGGGAAAGTGTTGGAGCTAAAGGCAATGCATGAGAAACATGGGCCAGTTTTTTGACTTTTTTACTAGAAGCTCTGAAGCAGAGCAGATTTGATGCCAGGCGTTGCCAGCAGAAAATGGCCATGATCAATCATGAAAAAAAGTAAAAACTCAAATATGCTCTCACGGATTTAAATACCTCCTCTGTGGTGGGTAGAATCCAGAATTCAGCATCTTGTTTTCTGGGTACTGTTCACTGGGGCGCTACTCACGATGTCATTTGAAAGAAACTGCAGGGGGAAAAAAACAGGACTCAATTTTTCGACATCTAAACATTACCCATTTATCTATGAACTACCAGCAGAGGGTGAATCGGGACGCTGTTCCCCACAGAACAAAAAACTGAGCCAGGCTCAGAAGACTACATGCCTGGGGTGAAAATAAAAGGCAAGAACCATCCGATTCTCCATGACATGGGATCAGTATTAACAGGCTATGATAAGGCATAGGTAACTAACTGCAAACAATGAATTCCTTTTTATCATCTTCAAAGATCCTCAGCACATATGCTTTGGGTTTGCAACAGCACCTGGGGTCACCGGGTAGAACGTTGGGTGAACAGCATATGGTAAGGACACTGTATTAGAACCCTGCTTTTAACCTTATCCTCATTAACCCCTATCATGTCATACATTGTCACATGTGAAGAGGAAAGGGGTATACCTCAAGGTCTTCAATCACCAACCGAATGAGTGCTTCCTTCTTCACTCCCAGAGTGATCTTCATGTCACGGATGACTACTTTTACCTCGATCTTCACGTTCTTCTTGGCTCTCTTTTTGAATGCCCACTTTCCTCTCAGCATAGATCCTTCGGTTTCCACTTCTAGTCCAGCTGGCCTGCTGCTATCCACACTTATTTCTGAATGCAGACTTTTCCATGCAACAGAAGGGTGGTTATGTGCAATTGCCTGCCATGTGTTTGAAATTGTAGCCGCCTTTCCAGCATCCATGCCTCGTCGATTGTGGGAATCCTTCTCCCGGCCTGGGATGGCATCTCGTCTATGAGGAGTTGTTCCAGGTGACGCCTTGAAAGGCGATATAAGCCCAGACGCGATATGTTGTGGCAGCTGCAGTGGAGCTGGCCTTGACTTCCTCATCCGTGACGGTAGCAATACAGCTGATTGGCTGGCACTCTTGCTGGATGCGACAAGTCCGTCCCCTCTTCCCATCCCTGTCTGCAACTTACTATCTTCAACCAAGGACCTTCGCTGTCTCTCTTCCTCCACCCGCACATATCTCCTGATCTTCTCTGAGACGTTTCCCACCTCTGGGACGTTTTCACTTTGCACACTCAGGAGTTCCCTCAACATCTGGGGGCTTTCCTCCTTCACCATGGGTGTGTGAGGTGATGCCAGACTGACATGAGTTGAAGTTTCTGTGTTTGCTGCATACCAAGAACGCCTTTGCGCATGAATGCCAACGGAAGTAGATGGATGTTGCTTCATAACTGGTGGCTCCTTTGGTGAGTGTTTTGACCACCTCCACTTTAACACCTGCTCCAGGCCTAGTCCAAATTTAAGCAAATCCAACGTCCGATCTAGATTCCTGGAAAGCCATGCCACCGAGCCCAGCAAAGGAGCATGCACTGGGTCAAGCTGTTGAGATTGTAGTTTAACATTTTATTTTTATTTTTGTCAAGAACTTCGGGCCAACCAGAAAGGGACTAAGGTATAGCAAGACTTAGGAGAAAACTAGTAGGCAGGGGTGAGGGGAGGTACATCCTTCCTATCGGAAGAAATAAATGCCGCCCGCTCGAGTCCCCCAACCATTATGGGGAGAAGCGTTGGAGTGTGTACATGATGTATTTTACTATTTTCCTTTGACTTGCCGGATGAAGAGGAACTGGACTGATGCTCCCCAGAGCCATGCATAAATACAAGGAGGATGTATAGCCAATACGGGGTCTTGTAGTACAGGGTTGAATTCTTTTCCCGAATCAGTGCTTAAAAAGGAAATTCGAAGAAAAGGATTGGCGGTTAAACATTAAAAAAAACAGAGAAAAATAAAGCAATACATTTGTGAATCATAAGAAGGGCACCAGTCAAGACAACTTTGTTGCGAGTTCGAAAACAAACGACAAAACCATAGTTGCGGCACACCTCGGTGCGCGGATTTGCGCACGACGCACGTGCAGCGCACCGGAAAATTAAGGTAAAAAAAAAAAAAAAAAAAAGTAGGGTTTCCGTAATTTCCTACGGCACCCTCCCTGGAAAACATGTTCTGCGCCCCTTGGCGCAAAAAAAAAATTTTGGGCAAGGGTTGCGAATTCTGAATTCTGCAGGCTGCTCCCCCACAAATTTCAAAATTTGCTGATTATGAAAATAGGGCTCATTGTCCTTCGGGACATCCGTTAAAATTGGAACGATGCAGAGAAGATAGATTAGCATGGCTCCTGCGCTTTCAAGGATGACACGCATAAATCGAGAAATTGACAAATTGTCAAATTAAAAAAAAAAAAAAAAAAAAAAGTTCTCATTGAGCCTCTAGGTTTTCCTTTTTGGGTGGGGTATGATAACTGGACTTCCCCTTTCCTTCTGCAAATCCCACGCAGAGGTGGACGAATTTGCAAGAAGGGTATAATTCACCAGTAGTGCCGTGCTCACGTTGTCTGGCAGAGGGCACACGTAATGTTTGGAGAGTCCAGCCGACCACCAATATATGCTGAAGTTTGGCATTCAGGTCTGCATGTCGGCAGTTATGGGTTAGGATGAAGATACCCGTAGCTCTCTCGTTTTTTTTCTTTTTGTTTTCTTCTGACTACGTACAGTGGCCGTGAAGATGCCTGTAGCTCTCTCGATTTTTTCTTTTTGTCTTCATCTGAATACGTACAGTGGCCCAAGGGGCCTCTGGCCACTACTCACCACATCCACCCTTCTCCTGCTGATGGGACCCTTGCCAATTTTTGGCAGGGACCTTTTGAAGTACCGGCAGGGGTTGTCTGAATAATGTGAAAGGGATCTTTGCTCTCTCTCTCTCTCTCTCTCTCTCTCTCTCTCTCTCTCTCTCTCTCTCTCTCTCTCTCTCTCTCTCTCCNTCTCTCTCTCTCTCTCTCTCTCTCTCTCTCTCTCTCTCTCTCTCTCTCTCTCTCTCTCTCTCTCTCCAGCGTGTATACACACATCACGGTTGCTTCCTTTTTTTTTTTTTCCGCGCATCTGTGATCAGCGCACTTCATCTATGTGCCGCAAGTATGCTATGAAGTTATAAACTTCATATAAACCATTATAAAGTTCAAGGGGGGCAGATGGTTCATGTTTGAAAGGTTTTGGCCCATGTGGCTCAATGCTACACAAATCTAACTGTTGGTAAAAGAGTCATAAGTTCGACCTCGGATGGAATCAGATGAATACAATAATGCTAGGCGGCGTAGGCGCCATCCCCTTCTTAAAAAAATAAAAATATTTTGCTACACAAATAGTCAACATAGATGTACTACAGTTCCCTGCCTTCTTTCTTACTCCTTACCCCCTCCTATGGAACGGTGAGCCCAAATAGAGTGGAAGATGTTCACAACAATGCAATGCCTGCATATCGTACATTCAAATAGAATGTGCTACCCCTACAAGGCAAGCAATGAGGCAAAACTTCTGATCTCCAAGCAGACAGATCGTTCGGAATATGGGCAAGCCATCAGAAGTGAAACGTTGTATTCTCCTGTCTCTATCTTCCAACCCCAACATCTCTTTCTCCCGAATGGGAGTGTATCTAATGCTCTGCTAATGAATGCAAATGGAATGCCAAGAACCTCACTTGTACCTGTGCAATGTGCATTCTCTGTATGCCTCTGTGTCATTGTGCTCGAGGACCCTTGCCCTGTGCAATTGCCAACGGAGAATGAAACAGGGAGGGAAAAAGATTGCAATGCACGATTTGTGAACATAGATTAAACTCACCACCAAATAGGAAGAAACCTTGCAGCAAGGCAAACTGTCACACAATCCTCTGATGCATCCACTTGGACCTTCACCTGACAAGTGGCAGGATTAACTTTAGTGGTCTAACTGTTGGAGTGATCAAGCAGGCCTGAACCTAACACAGATACATAGTTATTCATTGCTTTCGAAGACCATCACACACTGACCCTAGAAAGTCAACAGATGGCGTGGATAGAGAGAAAAAAAGAGGTCGCACAGGCCAGAAGAACAGCAATGCGAACAAGTGCCAACAACCGACGCTCAAACGAGGCCAGCACACTCGATTCCCCCACCAAAATCGACCACAGCAGGCCTCCACTCCCCCCCAAAAAAGGAATGACAAGTTGACAACAGTCCAAAAAGTTGGATCAGTAAAATGAAAATGGTTAAAGAATTCAGTATTGGCCTTAGTTCGGCCCAGTTTCTTGAACCAAAACAGGTCACAGAAGTGCCCCAAAAATTTATTAGGGGTCGCCCACAACCCGACGAAGGGACCTCGCCAACTCCAATTTTTTTTTTTCCGGTTCTAGTGTCCTAACTGGACATTCCGGACAAGACGCTCAGGCGGACATCCCGACCCAGATAGCCTGAACAGTCGTAACCATGCCACTGAGTATTCAGTATATTTTGCTGCACATACCTTTTTTTTTTTTTTTTTTTTTAATTTTTTTTTTTTTTTTTTTTTTTTGAAAAAAAAAAGGGCCTTTTTTTCCTGGCTCCAT